TTGGTTTTTCTCCGGTACCGGGAACCGAACTCACGACCTTGCGCTTGCCAGGCAGGCGCTTTGCCACTGAGCTAAATCCCCAGCCCCTGAACTTCTAATTTTCACCGATTCATAGTTCTCTTCTCCTTGTTTTTTCTTTTCCTTTTTTTCTTTTCCTCTCCCTCCATACCCCGTCTGTTAGTAGCAGGATAGTACAGTATATAAGGGGCATTAATAAAAGGATGAAATTGTTAGAGAAATTTTAAGGTATGTGGTTGGATCTGTTGAGGTTGTTACAACCAGTAGGGATTCTCTCTTTGTAAATAATAAGCTGAGTAGGTAGAGAGGTAGTGAAATACCAAAATGCAAATAAAGCCAAGATTGCATCACTAGAAAGTAGACACTATGCTATTAACAAAGTCTTTCTTCCACTCTAATTGATCCTCAACCCTCAGCTGGACAAAAAAAAATACATATACATACATACAAGGAAATAAAATGTCTTAAACAGCTCCTAACTCCCCCGGAGCAGATCTGAGGGACATCAATGGGAAGGAAATTAAAAAATAAAATGGCTAAATTATATGAAAGAATAAGAGAAGAAACAAACTCAGTGAGCTCAAAGATATAACTAAGAAGATTATGGACTTAATAAGCAAAATGACCAGTGAATTTTTAAGATGCAAATATGTAAAAATTTGTAGTGCTGACCAAAACAATTGAAAACATGAATGCACAATTCATTAAAGCATGAAAAGACACCAAACAGAAATCCAGGTGATAAATTCTGTTGAAAGTATGGGCAGCAGAAGTGACCAGTGTGAGGGTAGAGTGTTGGACCTAGAAGGCAAGCTAGTGCACAGGACTGCACACTCAGATACCTCAAAAACAGCTAGAGGGTATGGGAGGTGGGTCCAGTCGCTGCTAGGTGATACCAGTAAGACTAACCTGAGGTTAATTTGAGTTAGAAAAAAGTCAAAAGACAGCAAATTTGTTACAGAAATTGCAGCAGAAAACTTTCCAAGTATGAGTGAGGCATATAGACCCCCAATTAACCATCATCAGAAAAAAAGTCCTCCATGACAGTTGTGGTAAAAATTGCAGAAGTTTAACACCAGGATAGAATTTTAAAAGCTGTTAGAGAAAACCAGCAAATCACTTAGAAAGGACAAGTCACAACTTCTCCAGTCTTTGTCCAAATGTGTTCCGTAGAGCAGTTAAAGTTTGGATTAGTAAAAAATAAAAAAAAAATTTTGGATTAGTAGAATCAAAGTTATAAGAAATACTAGTGGTAGCGTGACTTCTCATTTTTAAATAGCTATCTTATTCCTTTTATTAAAAGGGCTATAAATTTCATGATGGCTAAATTAATGATTTTTCTGGTCTTGCAGATCACACAGCTTTGCTGTGGAGCATAGAGACAGGGAAGTGTCTTGTCAAATATTCAGGCCACGTGGGTTCAGGTAAGCATTTACTTAAGTGAGTACTGTAGTCAGAGGCTGTTTCCTACATGGATGTGTTTTGCATGACTAAAATCAACTATATCAATAGCAAATACATACTTGATAGAGAGTTTTACCATTTCAGTTGTAAGTATGTTCTTTTGGAGACTAGGATGAACACTATCCCTTCAGCTTGTATGGGTTTAACAAATGGAAAAAGCTTAACTGTTTAACAATGTACAAATAACGTTAGTCTACATTTTATTTAATATAGTATATAAACCAAGTATAGGAAACTTTATAACTGCAACTATGTATGAGTTATTATAAATATGTATCTATTTTAGAAATTTACTTTAATGGCAGTTTGGTTATGTTCAGGTTAAATAAAGGATAATCTGTATTATTGTGCTTTTTTTGTCTGTAATTTATGCTTTCCACAGTAACTCTTTTCTGCCTTTTCATCTGTGCCCGTGTATGTGCCAGTGTTTTGACCTGATCTGATTTCTCACTTTTGTTCAGCACACCCTGTGACATCTTTTCTACCTGGAAATCTCTCATGTCCAGGCTCTATCAGAGGCTGCGTGCCCACTCTTTCACCTTCTCTGCCAATTGCCATTGTACCCTTAATCTTTGTAGACAAACTCAGTGTTAGCATTGCCTTTAGCTCTTTCAGAGTTTCACACTTGGGTGAGTCCTTCATCTCAGCACCTTTCTGCTTTTCTTAGTGGTCCGGTCCAAGGCCAGGGTTCTGAGTGAGCTGCAGGCTCTCATTTCCTTTCTTAGGATCCTGTTCTTTAGGTATTTTCGTTGTGTTCTGTCTTATTCTTGCCATGGGCTTTTTCTTATTGGGGTATAGAAAAGCTCATACATTTCTCATATTAAACATCTGTATTGCTTACATATATTCATACTTAAATATCTTCATGCTTCTTACGTATGTATATCTTTTCCACAGACTCTGGCTGTGGGACTGTTGCCTTGCCTAAGTTCTCTAATGCAATACCTAAAGTAAATGCTCAGAAATGTAATAGAATTTTGTTAAAAAATATTTTCTGTGTCTGTGTCATCTAAGATTTCATAAATTTATTTTTAGCATTATGATTGCTTAAATTTATTACATAAAAGGTGTCCACAATTAGTTCTTGTTAGTTACCTATACTGTAGTATTTATAGCTCTTAGTTACCTGTATTGTAATATTTACAATGAAAGAGCATCTTATGTATTTTTCCTTTTAGTTTTGTAGAAAAATGCAATTCTTTTTTTTGTTTTTGTTTTTTTTTCCGGTACCGGAAATCGAACTCACTACCTTGCACTTGCCAGGCAGGTGTGTGCTGCTGAGCTAAATCCCCAGCCCTGAAAAATACAATTTTAATAGTATAGCTAACACATTGATAATAAAAAAACCTTATCGAAGTTTGGTAAAATTTCTGCTGTGTTTCATGTAAGGGACATGCATGTTCTTCTTTACAAGCTGTGGAAATGAGGATTGAGCCTCCCCAGAGTGACTTCAGTTCAGCTGTTGTCAAACTGGCTGACAGTGTTTTAATCCATTCTAAGAACTAGAATTTACTTGAGGAAACTCCTAGGTGGGTCGGCAGGCTCAGGATCAGTGTAGTATCTGAGCAGACCTGTTGAGATGGACTCCAACCTTAGTGTGCTAGTTTATGTGCTCATGCTTGCTGTCCTGCTGACCATATTCCATGTATATTCAAAGAAGGAAAAAGTGAGAAGGTGAGGTGGTGGGACTCTTTATTCTGCTTAACTCCTTTATGAGGAAAATGAGAGCTTCCAGCTAGGTGTGGTAGTACACATATGTGATGTGTGGAAGGTTGAGGCAGGAAGATTCCTGGTGCTTAGATTACATAGTTCAAGGCCAGGCTGAACTGCGTAGTAAGACCCTGTCTCAAAAGCAAAAAAAGTTTCCTCACAAGACCTTCTACCAAACCTTCACCACACCTTTACTTTTTTTCTCATTGAAGCATCTGGATAAGGAGAATGGGAGGACATTATAACCACTTTAACCTAATCCCAGTTTGTTCTCCTAGGCTGTGGAAGTTTGGTCATAGAGTCTCCTCTTGTGGGATAGATTGGGGGTTAGGGTTAGGTGGGAAGGTGAGCGGGGTGGGGCTTATGGTCAGTTGAGTAGACTGTAAACGGTTTCTATATGCTATAATTTGCCCTTGCCAGTTGTCACAATTATGTTTTCTTTTTTTCATGCTCATTTGTTTTTAGCTATAAATGACTTCTCTATTAAAAGAAATAGATTGTTACTGGTTTTCTGTGAATCCTATAAGAGTAATTTCATAATTCATACTTTTTTATGGTATCTCTGTTCTAACTTATTTGTTCATAATTGAATCAGAGGATCTAATAATGAACTTTCATAATTACGTTAATTTTTGATCTTACTTTGCAGTATGTGCTGAAGCGAATATTTATAACATGTTTTTATTGCTTTAAACCTGTTTATAATATTTTTATTTTGCAGTAAATTCTATAAAATTTCATCCCTCAGAGCAGTTGGCTCTTACTGGTATGTTGTTTTTTCTTTATTAAACAAACTATTAACAATCTTAAAACAACTATAGACATTCTTTTATTGATAGCATCAGAATTATCTATGCCTTTTAGGAAATTCAGGCATTTTATGAATTAAATGAGAAATGAATAAAGAAAAAGACACTGAGTAGTAGTGCTTTTTAAAATTATTGGTGGATCACCAATTAGAATGACTTGAATTTATTGTGGTATTAAAATAAATTTATATTCTTCTTGAAGTTTTTTTATAAAGAATTTTATTGCCTATGACATGATTCTTTGAAGCCCTGTTACTGTTTCCTAATTTTATGTACATCTAAAATAAAGAAATGAGAAACATAACACTGAGAAAGAGCAATTTTTTTCAGAGTCAGCATTTTCACTGTTTTCTAGATAATTTATCTACATTGTGGTAACTTGGATTTGGCATATTCTATATTATGGTTTTAAAAACATTTTTATTTGTTGCTTTTGGAGGATAACCTTAATGTAGTGAGGATATACTCTATAAAACTGTTAGTCATATATATATATATATATATATATATATGTATATATTTTCTTTTTTTTGTACTGGGGATCAAACTCAGGACCTTGCGCTTGGCAGGCAGGCACTTGTGCCACTGAGCTATATCCCCGGCCCTAAAGTTGTTAGATATCTACAGAACCCTATGATGTTTTGGGGTTACTGGTGATAACCTTGAAAGGTTATGTATAGGCTTGGTAGATCAGAAGTCAACACATTTTCTGTGAAGGACCACATAGTAACTATTTTCATCTTTGTGACCATGGCGGTCTCTGTTGCCGCTATTCATTTCTGCTGTTATAGTGTAAAGGAACAGAGACAGTGTACAGATGAAGGGATACAGCTGTTTATTTTCAAAAAATGGGTGGGTGGCTGGATTTAGCCCATGAGATTTTGCTGATCCTAGGATAGAATATAAAAGTTGAGATGACTAAGTGCTTCATGCATGTGAAATTGTTGAGGCACTGAGCTCAGGCATGAGTGCTTTTAATATGTGAGATGCAGTGAATTACTGTTTGGTGAGAGAATTTCTATATGTGATAAGAATGTGGTGGGCAGGTTAATCTAAGAGTCATTTTCACAGGCCTAAACCATAATAGCTATTTTATACATTAGCAAATTTTTTTTTTTTTTTTTTTGGTTTTTTCTCCGGTACCGGGAACTGAACTCACGACCTTGCGCTTGCCAGGCAGGCGCTTTGCCGCTGAGCTAAATCCCCAGCCCCCTTAGCAAATATTTGAGGAGTAAAGTTGCCATGGAATTTAAGCATTATTACATTGATTGGAGAGAGGAGGCTAGAAGCCAGGAGACCAATGGCAGTTGGATCTGTGTAGACATAAACCGAAGGGCTAGAAAGGAGGAGTGAAACCAAAAAACTTTTCAAGAAGGAACTGATAGAAACTTTGAAACAGATAAAGTTACGAGGTTGGCTATAGAGAGAGGAGAGTTAAACTGCAATTTATATGCTGTGTTGACTTGAAGAGAAATTGGCAAGTCAGGGTAATAAATTCATTTCTGCCATTAAAAAAAACATGTACTGCCATTTACTACCTTCTCTAGGGGAGCTTTGCATCAGTGAGGACAAGACAGAAGGTAGATTGTTTCTGTGAGGGTGAGACTTGATTGTTTTGGTATATCGGAGGGCCTCTTCTTTACCCTGTAGTGATTTCCTTTGTCTTTGTATTCCTAAATCAAAGCATTTCTTTATAACCTTTGGCTTGTGTGGAGAGGAATAGGGAAGTAGCACAAGTAGCAGTAAAAATCTGTGCCTGGCAAATTATAAAGTCCTATCGATGGGGAGATGAAAATGAATACAAAATATTTCCTGAAACATCTCCTAATCTATTATAGTGACAAGTTACAGATAATAGAATTTCTCTTGGATGGATAGAAACTAAAATCTATTTGTAATTTCTTTTTCTGAATCTTTACACCTTTCTGCCCCAAAATGAAAGGGAAAAATTTTATAAGAAATTATAATCCCAATTTTGCACATTTACTCTGTTTTTAATAGCAGTGTATGGTCTCTGAAATGGCTAAATAAAGTACATTCATTTTACTCAATGATCACTGTTAGAAAAAAATTTGATGTTGCTTAGTAGAGTGTAGCAAAGAGAACATTTTGTGCATGGTTTGTACATTGGGTAATTTTCCCCCAATTTCTCTCTTCAGCCTCTGGCGATCAGACTGCTCATATTTGGAGATATGTGGTACAGCTGCCGACACCCCAGCCTGTTGCCGACACTAGTGTAAGCGCATTTACTTACCCTGAAAACTCAACATAGGCCTTCTAATGTAGGATTCTGAGCGTTTGCCAGTTTTAGAATAAGTTTATAGGAGCTGCTATGTGCGGAATGGGGTCCCTCCCTCTGTCCCCCAATTCATATGTTGAAACCCTAATCTTCAGTGTGGCTATATTTGAAGATGGGGCCTCCAGGAAGTAATTAAGGTTAATTGAGGTCATAAACATGGAGCCTAATCTGAGGGAATTAGTGTCCTTATAAGAAGGGACATCAGACAATGTGAATGTGTGCCACGCTGTCACTGTCACTTATTTTGTCTGTCCCTGGTCACATAGGACAGAATGAGAGAGAAGCCATCTGCAAGCCAGGAAGAGAGTTTTCACCAGAAACCAAATAGGCGGGACTCTTGATCTTAGACTTCTGACCTCCAGAACCATGAAAAAATTAATTTCTGTTGTTGTAAGTTATGCAGTCTATGGTAATTAGTTATGGCAGTTGGAGCTAAGATAGGTTTTGGTACCAGAGGTGGGATGCTGATACAAGAAGTACTTAAAATTCTTTATTTAGGTGGCTTTGGTAGAGGTCTGAGGCATTTTGAGGTACTTGATAAAATAAGTGTAGATTGCCATGAAGGGATTATTGTTAGAAATATGGATGTTAAAAACGATTCTGGTGATGGCTAAGGAAGAAAAGAGGAGAACTAGAAAGGAAGCTTCTAATTTTTTAGAGGTATACTCTTACCATCATGAAGAAGAATGTTGGTGCAGATACATACATCAAAGGCCACACCCAAAGGAAATGAGGAAGAGGTTATTGAAAACTGAGAAATATTCATCCTTGTTACAACGTATCAAAGAACTTGGCTTCACTGTGTCCTAGTGTTTTGTGGAAGGTAGGATTTCTAATTTTAGGATAAACTCAGATATTTGGCTGAGAAATATTTCTGAGGAAAGTGTTAAAAAAAGTGGCCTGGTTTCTTCTGACTAATTAGAGTAAAATATAAGAGAGAGAAATTGAAGATTTGGAAAATTCTGTATGTGTACTGCAGGAAGTAGAAAGCTTATTCTGAAGAGAACACAAGGGTGTGGCTGTACATCCATTTGATAAAGAGGTTAATTAGTATAAGTTTGAACTTCAAATCACCCATTAGGGTAGTCAGGAATAGAAAAGAGGTTCTTCTAGTGGAGACACGGCCAGGTGGGAGTAAAGGAACCAGAAAATACGGAATAAAATAAAGACTGCCGAGATTGTACAAGCACCAGACAATAGCTCAGTGGCTCTGAATACATGTCACCCTTCAAGATGAGGGCATAACCTGAAGGTGACTGAGAGGTTGAAGGGCAGCTACTCCCATTTCAGGCTCGGGGAACAAGGTTGGTTCCTCCTCAGTTTCAAAGAATGGTGCCTGTGTGGTGTCGGGGCCAGGATACCACGGCGCAGTGCCTGTAGATTATATTTCTTAATGTTTTATGTATATGATGCTGGACATGCTTACCTTTCATGGGTTTGTATTACTGCGTAAGTTGATGGCAGGTGAGGAGGCATTCTCGTTTTTGTATGAGTAAAATTTTGACATAGTTAACAAAAGATACAGTATATTGAGAAGAATGAATTGATGTGCAAGAAATCCTTAAATTACTGTTCTCTTTGTGCTGTTTGACACATACTTTAGGCTGCATCCTTACATATATGATCAAGCAAAGGCTTTAATTGTTTGAATGTTGGGTATCTTCATCTAGTTTCTGTTAGTGTGAACTTTAGAGATATGTCATCACAGTTGGTTACCCCTTTCCTGGGTTGCATATAAACCAGTGGAAATGGTGACAACAAATGGTTGTATGTAGTCAAATACAAATCTGTGAAGTTTCAGCTTGTGTTGGGCTGATTCAGTTGATTGTGAGGATGATAATGTCCTTCTAATTTTGATGTTTCAGTCTTTGAATATTAGTTTTCTGCTTTACAAATATTCTAAACATTGTTCTGTTTGGAGATATGTTAAGTATTTAATTCTAGTGATGTTAAATGAGTTTTATTTAGTTGAAAGGTCTTGCCTGTTCTTTTTAAATGACTATTTAATAGTTCCCATTTATGCAGTTTCACTTTCTTATGAGGTTTTACCTCACCTGTGGTCTGAAAATATTAAATAGAAAATTCCTTAAATAATTTGTAAGTTCTAAATAAATTTTAACAAAATATTGTTACAATTCTGTTTTGTTATTGTTAGTCACTTACTGTGCTTAATGAATAAATAAGTATTTATGAATTTTTCATAGATATGTATGTATTGCATAGGAAAAATATAGTATATTGTTGTATAGGGCTCAGTACTACTTGATTTCAGACATCTGCAGAACTTGGAAGATATCTCCCATGGATAGGGAAGAACTATTAAATATTTTAGCAGTTATTTTCTCTCTTGTAAAATTACCAAACTGTTCATTATATTGGCATACTTAACTTGTGCATCCATTTAAGAAATGAGCAAAATGAACACTGAAGGCAGAGAAATGAGGGTGAAGAGTAAATGTTTAGAAAATTAAAAGAATGACTTAATCATATGACTTGTTCTCCAAATAAATTTAAAAAGTACCAGTTTTGTTAGAGGAAAGATTTTTGTAAGGTACTTAAATTTAAAAAATTTACTTTGAATATTATGTTAATTTTACTTCCTTTATTATTTTGCTTGTGTTTGATACATATATTTGTCTTGCTGGATAGTTGCTAACTCTGGATTTGGGACTAATGTTGGGGGAAGGGAGCTGAGTCTTCATTAAAGTGGCCTGTAATGCACACTGTAACTTGGTTAGTACCTTGAACTGCTTTGGAAGCATTGCTGAGGACAGCTGCTTTGACTTCTGTAGTAGGTAGTTATTGGTGAATAGTTCTTTGGTTGAAGTCAATTTTTAAAAAAATTTGTGGGGGTCAGTCTTCACTCACATTTGCTTAGCAGTTCTATTCTTAGATTGTAAAATAAACTGTAATCTGTTAAAGTCTGTATTTATCTTGAATTAGTACAGCTTTCCCATGGATATTTTCTTCAGATTTATGTCAGTTTTACTTGATCTACAATGTTGATAAATATTTGCGTGATGTAGTGTAAACAGATTTAGATTACCAATGAAATAGCTATGTCACACACTAGTTATGTTACATATTACTAGTAACTAGGTTACTAGTTATTTAACTATGAGGGTTGATTTTCCAATTTGAAAGTAAAATTGGAAAGGGGTTAACTGAGAGGTTTCTAATGGCCCTTGCTACGTTAGGATACTGATTGAGCGATTCCTTGATTCTGAGGACTCAGAGATACTTTGATTAATATAAATCAACAATTCTTGAATGTACTTTTAAAATTTTGCTTATAGTAAAATGATCAAAGTTAAATAGATTATTTCTAAGAATAGAAATATGTATCAACAATTCCAACCTTTTTATCTCTTGCCAAATGAAGGTTAAAAGTACTTAAAATGGAACATGTCTTAACACTTTAAAGGATCTTTTAGTACATTGTGTAGTTTGGAAAAATTACTTCTGCAAAGTACTAACTAATGTTGTTGCACTTTTTAAAACATGGATCCTGCCAACAAGGAGCTCCAGGGCTCCTTTCTGAGCCCTCATACTGTCTGTGCTCCATGCACAGTCCCTCCAGGGGTTCTTTCACGTGCCAGACACTAACCCTAACCCTAGCTGAACACATGATCTGACTCTCAGTCCTCCTCAGATGTTTCCTGTCTGAGGAAGTAGCTCCATTGTATTCCTAGTCATTTATTTCCTTTTTTTTTTTTTTTTTTTGCGCTTGCCAGGCAGGCGCTTATGCCACTGAGCTATATCCCTAGCCCGTTTATTTCCTTCTAGAAGAAAATATTTAGTTAATAGCTGTTTGAGCTCACTCTTCTAGGTCAGGGGTCCAGCAGTCAACAAAACTGTCTGAAAGTTTAGCATTCTTTTGATACACTACTCTGTTTCATCCTCTCCAACCCCCATTTCCAACCAATGCATGAAATCTTACAATTCCAATTTTTTTCTTTCTCTTTCAGATGACTGGAGGTCTTAAGTTGCCTGGGCTGGCCTTAAACTTGTGATCCTCCTACCTCATTCTTCTGGGTAGCTAGTAATACAGAAATGTACCACTGTGCCCAGCTTTGTTTTTTTGTTTTTGTTTTTTCTGGTACCGGGAATTGAACTCACAACCGTGTGCTTGCCAGGCAGGCGCTGTGCCGCTGAGCTAAACCCCCAGCCCCCACCCAGCTTTGATTCTAGTTCTTGAGTCTCCTTTTCTTACCCCATGGACCATCCTGCTTTAGGGGTCACATCCACACTTTTGTCTGATGGAACCCTTGCAGCTGTTCACACAGTTGTCCGCAGAGGACCCTTACTACAGAGCTGTCCAGAGCTGTGCTCTTCTTCTGTATGACTAGGACTCTTTGTAGCTGCCACAGTTGCTGAGAAGTCTTATGGCTTAGGACCTAGTGCTTCCTGAACTACTCTATGTTCAGAGCCAGGGTTAGGGGTGACAGGTGCCAAGCTTCATCCTTCCCATCAGAAATTTATGATGACTGTGGATTCTTCCTTGCCTAGGTGCAGTTTATCCACCAGAAGTCATTTTACCTTGAGTGGAAGGACCTGGGAAAGAAGTTGTTAGGCAGAAGGGAAAGGGTTTTGTTGACCCTTTACTGTTCTACCTGTTTATAAGCCTGCATCTTCTCTAGCCAGGTCACTGCAGTTTTGTCTTAACTAGTCTTGCTACCTCAGGAATTATGCTTTTGATTGCTCCTGATGAGCTTTTTTAGTATCTTTTATCACTGTCCTCCCCACTTCACCCCAAACTAAGTTTAATTATTCTTGCTTCTCTGTATTTATCTCTTTTCTCTTCCTTTCTTGGCTGCCTCCTCGCCTACCCTAAACTCCTCATCCTTCATGTCATTTGGATCTGACTTCCTTAAAGGGTTACATCATGCTTGTGTACTCTCAAGTCCACCTGTACTTTTTCATTGTAGCTGGTAGCATAATCTGAAATGGGTAGTTTATGCATAATCATTTGTGTTGAACTTGCTCACTAGATTGCAGATCTTTTGTCCCTGGAGAAATCTTAATTCTGGCTAAATCCACTTTTCCTCTCTTTTCTGCATTCAACTCTTAGGTTGTGGCCTTCCATGTCAGTCTGGCCCTATGCTATGACACGCCTATTGTACTTTCCAGTCCTTCCTCCTTCCCAGCTTCTGCTTCTTAGTTCTTTGAGAAGATGGAAGCAGTTGGACAGAACTCTGCACCCCCTCTCCCAGCTGTTTCTTCATGATACCAGCTGTCCTCTTCAACTCACTGGAGTGTAACCTTGCCTCCATCATTGATGTCCTGTTCCTCTCTTCCTGTGGATGCTGCTCATGCAGTGATTCCTTCTGTCCTCTATCACTGGAGTGTTCCTTTCCCAGGTCCTTCCCACATCTGTCCTATGGCTCACCCAGAACTAGCACCTTGTTGGTTTTTCCACCCTGACCTCAGAAGTGATACCTGCATTCCTTTCTCTCCCACTACACTGTTCTCAGGCCTTCTTTGTGTCTCTGCTGCTCTGCTGGGCCTCGGTCATGGTCTCCATCCCCTTCATGTCACTCATCCAACAAACATTTATGTTTTTCCTTTTTTATTTGTTTTGTTTTTTTTTGGTACTGGGAATCGAACTCAGGACCTTGTGCTTGCCAGGCAGGTACTTGTGCCACTGAGCTATATTCCCGGCCCATTTTTTCCTTTTTAAAAAAAAAATTAAAAATTTATTTTGACACAGAGTTTCACTAATTGCTCAGGTGGAACTCCAACTTGTGATCCTTGTGCTTCGATCTTTCTAAGTTCTGGGATTTTAGGCATGGGCCATTGTGCCTGGCAGATACAGCAGTTTGAAGGTGCTCTGTGGGCGGCATCATTGCGTTTATTAACCATGGCTCTTCCTGCAACACAGACATTGTTTTTCCTGTTTTCTTCCTTCCTCTTGAGTCTTGTTGGTGCACTATTTCTTATCTGATGCTCTGCCACTCACCTGTGTGTGGTTCTCCTCTCCTGATACTCTGTTGCTCACCATTTCTCTCACACTAGTTCCCAGCTGATCTTAGCACCTGTGGTTTTGAGGACCGTCTGTTGCTGCTGGCTCTCAGACTTGCATGCTGTCTCTGACTCCTTTTAAGTTTAGGTTTCTGGAGTCACTTAACTACCAATCCGTCTCTACCTATGCAGTGTGGACATTGCAGACCTGCTGTTTCTAAACTTGGGTTCTAGATGTCTTCTCAACTTGCTCCGTTTATTGTGCCACCTACTTCAGGAAATGTCCCCATCATTTGCTCAACGCTTTGGACATTTATTTCGTCTGTGAACTCTTGTATTTTTTTCATAGTCCATGTGATATCAACCTATCAACAAATCCAGAGCTTTACTCAGAGGGTGCTTTAATTAGCTTTTCTTTTTACCTACATCACCCTAGTCTAGGCCACCTTCTTTCTTTTTTTTTTTTTTCCAGGTCACCTTCTCTTACCTGTCCTTTTAAAATCTTTCACTTTCTCTGTGTTGTTTTCTGGAGATGACATAACCAAAAAGTACAGCTGGACAGCTTCAGTAACAAATGTGTGTTACTGCAGTCCTAGAAGCTTTCAAGATCAAGGTACTTTCAGGATTACTTTCCTCAGAGGCCTTTCTGTGGCTTGCCCATAATCACCTTTTCACCATGTCCGCACATGCCCTTGCCTTTTTGTGTTTTGATCTCTTATAAAATACCAGTTATCAACTGGGTGCAGTGACACACGTCTGTAATCCCAGTACTTGGTGAAACTGAGGCAGGATGGCAAGTTTCAGTCCTGCCTGGGCAATTTAGTGAGACCTTGTTGCAGAAACTAAATAGTGCTGGGGATGTAACTCAGTGCTAAGGCCCTTGGTTCAGTCCCTGCTGCTGGAAAAAGGGGGGAAAAAGGGACACAACAGTTATATTGGATTAGGGTCTATTCTGATGACCTTCTTTTAATCTTAATTACCTCCCTCAAGGCCCTGTTTCCAAGTACATTCTGAGGTCCTGATGGTTAGAGCTTCCATATATGAATTTGCAGGAGACACAATTTAGTTTATAGTTTTCCCTTTATTCACACAGCATGCATGAGATTATATCACAACTGTGCTTGAAGTTGTCTGATTTTCCATCGCACACAAGATACAACCCAAAGTTCTTTGCATGGTCTACTATACCAGACTTCGCACAACTTCACTTATGTCTGCCCTCCCCTTGCATTGTGCCCCTCACATTGTGCTACTGACAACTTTGGTTTTACAGCACGGAGGCCTTTATTTACACTTGTTCCCTCTGCCTGAAATGCTGTTTCCTCCAAAAATTGCGTGCCTCTCCTCCTTGTTTTCTTCACAGTCTGACTCAAATGTTAACTTGCCAGTCTTTCCTCAGTAATTCTGTATAAAATAGAAGCTCCTTTACCACGCTTTGTCGTGTTGCTTTTCTTCATAGCAATCATTGCCACCTGTGTAAATGTACTTGCGTATTTCCTTACTAGTGTGTAAGCATATATAATATCCCCTAGTAAGTTTATGCTCATGTGACACATATCCTCTTACTAGTGGGTGGGTACATGTGATACACATTCTCATACTAAAATGTATTTGTGTGTACACACATGTGTATGTATGTGTGGTAGTCTCTTCCTCATTACAGTAAAAGTTCTTTAAGGGCAGGGACTTCGGACTTTTTTCCAGCATTCTAGTCACCTAGAATGATCATAGTGTTTTTAATGTATAGTAGTCTCTTCCTCATTAGAATAAAAGTTCTTTAAGGGCAGAGATTCTGCAAGTCTTGTGTTTTTGAGCATTCCAGTCACCTAGAATGATCATAGTCTTACGTATGACAGATATCATCTGTCCCCTTCACCGTTTTGTAAATAGAACCCAATGTATTTGCAAGCCCTTGATTAATATTTGTTGAATAAATAAACACATTTTCTTGAAGGGGTGGTTGTTATCCTTTTATTTTATCTGTGGCTTCTGACTAAAGACTTCATTGATGGCATAGAAAAAAAAGTGAATTCTTATGTTATAGCAATAAAATCTAAGTTATTGTAACTTAGAATTATTTTAGAATTCAAAGCCTGGGGCTGGGGATTTAGCTCAGCGGCACAGTGCCTGCCTGGAAAGCGCAAGGTGTGAGTTTGATTCCCGGTACCGGGGAAAAAAAAAAAAGAAAAAGAATTCAAAGCCTGTATTTTAAAATCTTCTAAGAATTGAAATGCATTTTTTGTATTATAAATTACTGACTTAATTGTTTCTTAGTTTTATATTTCTGTTAACAAGTGGTAAAAACTTGAAATACTGAAAATCATTGTATTTGTTAGTGGAAATGAATGACATCATTTGATGTCTTAGTGGCCTTAACTTTTTTTCCTGGTATTTGACCTTTAATTATAGCCAGTCATAAGAATTAATAAAAATGAAATGATCATTACTTTTGTATTAGACACTGTGCTTATATTGGTTATAATGATGAGTAAGTCTATGTTAAATAAATCCTGGAAAGAGAAATGAGAATAGTCTCATGGTGTAGCCACTTCAGAAAAAAATTCGTGATTCCCAGGATATCTTTCTTTTTCTGATTTTACTCTTAGCAGCAAATATCTGGAGAAGATGAAATAGAATGCTCAGATAAAGATGAGCCTGATATCGATGGAGATGTGTCCAGTGACTGCCCTACCATTCGGGTTCCATTGACCTCTCTCAAAAGCCACCAGGGAGTGGTCATAGCTGCTGACTGGCTCGTTGGAGGGAAGCAGGCAGTGACAGCCTCATGGGACAGAACGGCGAACCTGTATGATGTCGAGACTTCCGAACTTGTTCATTCTCTCACAGGTACCTTATTGAGAACTCTGAACTTCTTAGTTGGGTGCTTGCAGTTTATGTTCATGTATTTAAGTCTGATCTTGCAAATTACTTCTTATCAGAATTGCTTCTAGTCTCCTTGGCTCTTCTGTTGTAATTTTTGGCTATCTTTTTCTAATTAATGGAACTAATAGCTAAATTCATTTTATCTTTAGGAGATTAATTGTAGCATGTAGCAGCTAGGTATTTGAAATATGGTTGCAGCATCAATCTTCTATTTCTCTGTGACAAATTTCTACAAATTCAGTATATTAAGACAACAGAATTTACTACTTCTTGGTTTCCTATTCGGGATTTCTAGGTCCACGGTAGCTCTGCCTTGGCCTGAGACCTCAAAGATTGAAGTGAAGGTATTGCCTGGGCTGGACATTTCTTTTGAACTTACTAGTTGGGAGAATCCATTTCCTTGTGACCATGTGACTGAGACTCCCCAGGCTCTTGCTGTTAGAAGAGGACTGCTCTGAGCATCTAGCGGCCATACCCTGGTTCCCAGAGACCTGTCTAAAGACCTTTCCTCATGTGGCAGTTTGTTGCCTTCTAGACTAACAGGAGCACACCTTCATTGCTGTAAATTCTCCAGCTGCTTTGAGGGCCAGGACCCCTTGCAAGGGCCCATCTGCTTAGGCCAGGCTACTTAACATAACCTTTCTTTGAATTAATTTAGAGTCAACTGATTTAAAGAGCTGATTACATCTGTGAAATTCTTTTTGCCCTATAATGCATCATAATTATTATCTCACCATATTTATAATTTCTGCCCAAATGCAAGGGAAGGGCATGTACAGGGTGTGTATTTTACCGAGGGCTCAAATATTACGCTATTAGAACTTTTTAGAAGTAAAGGACTGAGATTTAGGTTGTTGTACTTAGCCTGTTAAAGTGATTGGTCTGGTCATGTAAATGTTAGGATCAGAAAATGGGCTGTACCTACACCCTGCTTCTTTTAAATGGGTTGCTGAAGGGGCTTCCACCTTCTGAGGGGAAATTGGTCCCACTGTGAGTCCACATTAAGAGATTAATTAAGAGTTATTAATTAAGAGTTATTAAGAGATTAATTAAGAGTTATTATTAAGAGATTAATTAAGAGTTATTAATTAAGAGTTATTAAGAGATTCCTTTAGGTTCACCTTTCCATTGGATATTAGCAGTGGAGACCATAAAGATGTGTGTTTTTTATTCTTGTGTTTTTAAAAAAGCTTCATTCTGTATCTACAGGTGGATAACCTTGCATTTTTGTCATCTTATGGTTGCAGGGCATGATCAGGAGTTAACGCACTGTTGTACACACCCCACCCAGCGGCTTGTGGTGACCTCCTCTCGTGACACGACTTTCCGTCTCTGGGATTTCAGGGACCCTTCCATTCACTCTGTAAACGTGTTCCAAGGACACACAGAGTGAGTTGTGGTCATTCAGATATCTTAACTATTCATGAAAAAGTTTTGTGAATTTTTATTAAAATTTAATTCTAATCTTAGTTTTCAGTATTTACAGATTACTCTTTTTGAAAAAGGCAGTTCTTTTCCTTAATATCTAGTTCTGCTTTTCAAAGGGTTTTGGAGACTAACACCTTCTTGCCAGCTTGAACCACCAGTGGTACGTACAGGGCTGTCCCGTTGGGCAGCTCCTACCACTGGTGGTACAGGCAGATCGAGTCACACTTCTGTTGGTCTTTTTACTAATAAAATTAATGAAAAATCTGTGAACGGACTGAGTCCAGTTATGGTAGTTGCTTGAATTTGAATAATTACTGCCCAAATATAAATATTAGTACTACTCATACCAATTAAAATTATTATAATCAATAAATTTATTTCATTAAATTAAAAGATTCTATATTCATGAATTTCTTTAAAATATTTCATACATCAAGGTGGCTGAATTGTGCAGGGTGTGTTAAATGTTATAACTTGTTTGGGTTTTTTTTGTAGCTACAGCGGCACTCATTTTTTCAGATAGTTATGCATGTACCACCAATGGTTCAAACTGGTGGGACAACCAGAGTCAAGTCAGAGTCACCCAGCAGCAAGACAAACAAATTATAACCCCATTGTGAATGTGTTAAGAGATAACTGATGTTCTCTAAAGAAATTGGTTGGGGATAGAAGGAGTGGGGAGGACAGAAGGTAAAGAAAAAAATTAGGAAGTAGTGCAGGGCTGGTAACATGAGTAGTGGGAAGGATGGTTATGTCATCAAGTGGCTCTGACTGGAGGTGTTTGCAGCCACTCACAGATTACTTAGTGCATTTTAAAATCTGGTTTTCATTATTACATGTATTTGCAGGACATATTCTGGGAGAAGGTGTCCACAAACATACACAAGCACTTGCAAGCATAAACCCTCAATCTAGTATGTTTCTCTTCTTGGGTTTCTTTCAGGCAACTTAAACATGAGGATGTCTTAATCATTCTTTCACAAGTTGTTTTTCTCCTAGGCTGATCCTTCTCAATAAATGAGAAGGCCATTTCTCTAGTTTTTCATCACCCAGACCTTGGGATATTTCTTGATTCTTCTTTTTTAAAACTCCCTTTTCCTACTTCTCCATACTGTCCCTTATCTGTCCCGGCACACCAATCCAGTGTATCCTGCCATTCACCGCTGCCCCTCCAGACTCTCACTGTCTCTTACATGGATAACTTGCGTGTCCTGGTTAATTCCATGATGTTTACAGGGGTACCTGCCTGCAGTGCCTTTAAATGCATGAATACTTGTTCATTTGGTTATTTAGAAAATCTGTTTTACACGTTTAGCATTAGATAATAAATTTTAGGCTTGATGTTGAAAATGTTAGTAAAATGTTTGAAGGAAAATAGGACAAAGTTTGTTTTTCAGGAAGGTTGAGATTGGGAAACAAGTAGTTCTTTGAGTATGAGAACTTGCAAGAATATTAGTGATCAGCAATTATGAATGTGCATTGAGATCTTCATGTATGGAACTATGTCTGTTCTAGGAGGCTCTCTGTGTTAAGTCGTTTGGTCATAGTATCAGGTCTATTTTACTATATTGGGCACTGATGACCACAGCGCCAGTCAGCCTTTACCTTCTGTGTGAGTGAACAGAGCGCAGGCTACTGCTTTTTCTTACACAGTACAGGTCCAGCTGCACCCCTGGAGCTCTGCTGTGTGGACTTTAATCCTGTATGCCTAATATGTTGGTGGCAAGGAGGCCACAGCTGGGAGACAGACTGCTTCCTAGCCAAATTGGCCTAGATGTGACACTCTGGCAGCCACCACATGTAGAGGGGACCTGAGTGCAAAGCTCCCATCAGGCAGCACTGTGTGCTGTGCGTAGAGTGAGGCCATTCCAGCTGTACTCTTGTTTGTCACTGGAGTATATACCAAGGCTCAGAGAGCCAAAGGCCTGAGCATTCCAGCCTAATCTTACTCTTGAACCTGCAGACTTTTTTTCTAACCATTTTGTTTTGAAAAGTTGCAAGTCTACATAAAAATTGAAAGACTAGTATAGTGAATATCCAATTTACCTTTCTTCTAGATTAACTTGTTTTTATTCCACATTTTTTTTTGTCTCTTTATTTTTCTGCATATACACATGTGTCTGTTTATATAGAATATATATTTTCTTTGAGCCCTTTGGGGCTCTTTCGCTGAACTGACTGAGCATATATCTTTTAAAAATAAAGATGTTTTCTTAATATATGATCAACCTAAGAAAATCAGCTAAGACTCTGTAACATCATTTATTATTTGGCTCATACTCAGATGGATTCAGTTGGCCTAAAATGTCCGATCTTTATTTTTAAATACAGGATTTAGTCAAAATTCACTTGTCATGTTTATGCATTATGTCCTTTGGCCTCCTTTATTTTATGATGACTTTCTACCTTTGTTGTTATTTTTTCTGACATTGAAGTTTTTTATGAATGTACATTCAGTATTTTTCTCCTATTTGCTCTTTCTGCCAAAAGTGCCTCTTAGCCCTCAAGAGTTTTTTCGTCCTGTCAGAACATGCACGATGCTGGGGTGGCCTGCTGTTGGGTCTGCTTAGCCCAGATCCCTGGGTTAAGGTGGTGTTTGCCAGGTCTCCCCATTAAAAGGCATGTGTTCCAGTTTGAAGTTAGTAAAGTGACACTTGGAGATAGCTGCATGTCCGATTCCCCAGCAACCTTTCATCTGATTGGTCTGACATCATTGATGATTTTTGCCTAGTTACACTGAGGAATGCATACTGTTCCTAATTCTATCACTCTTTCTATATTAAAGTTACCACTTTATGACCATAGACTTGTGCCTATTGTTTCCACTTCGATAGTCATAATTCTTTATTATCATTTTATTTTTGGCCCTTAGTACATTAGCCTATGGGCCTTTGTACCTTCCGTGGGTACAAAGTCAGAGCATTTGGTGTCAGAACGTTTCTTTCCCACTAGTAGAGTAAGATGCTTTAGATTGGAAAGTGCGAGTGGCTTCTCACTGAATTGACTGCTGACCTGTCCTGGACCAAGGAAAACCCATCAGAGATTTGAGAGTTAGTCTGTAAGAGTTTTGTCTGTAGAGAGTAAGACATATTTGTTCTTCTCATATGGTTAGAACAGACGTGGTTATAGGGAGACCAGCCAGCATGCCCCTGCTATGCTTGCTGCCTGCAAGGACGTAATGGAGAGGCCCATTGCAACTTGGGGAAGGCTGGAGCATTGTGTGTAGAGAAGAGCTGAATGAGCAGGGTTTAGGGAGTCTTTGGTGTGCATGACTGGGTGCAGTCAAAACACCTCCCAGGTTGGACTTGCTGTCCCTCTCCTAGCCTGACTAGCATCATCCCTGTTCCAGAGAGAAAAACTGAGGCAAAGGGAAGCCAGATGATTTGATGAGGGTTGCCTAGTTTTCAGTGGAGTGTGACTCTAGCGGAGTAATTCTAAAGCAGTGGTGGAGAACCTATGGCATATATGCCACAGCGGGCTGTTTGTTATCACTGAAAGCTCTAAAAGGTTCACCATCACTGTTTTAGAGCAGTTCTAATGTCTTCAAATTACCTTCTTGTTCGAAGGCTCTTTTTAGACACATTCGATCAGTATTGATTGCCTTGTTTGAAAACTTGTTTTTATTTGTGCAAAAAAAAGTTGATGGAAGTGTGTGATTTAGCTTTTAAGGTTGTTTCAACAGTAGGTTTTTCATTTGCATTCTTCTAGTTGTGCTATTTGGGGGATGTTTGAAATATCTAATTAGTGGTATATTTTTGTAGTTGACCTGGATTTTTTAGAGAGACACTTAGGATTATAACTGGTTGTGAAGGAGTTCTTATATTTAATGTACATTTATGAATATGATTTGTAATTTTTTTTTAAACTAGAATCCAGTGTAGTTTTAGAGTTAATGGAGTGTGTAATTCATTTGAGCCCCTTCTCTGCTCCTCTAAGTTAATGCTTCGACTCATTTTAACTAAGAGGATGAATGAAAGTTTTAATTAAAGTAGCATATATATACAAGTCTTATTTATTTTTTATTAGCACGTTTGCAGTACGTAGTGTTTATGTTCGTCTTAGGGAGTAGGTACATGTATTTAACATACTTAATTCTTTTTTTCCTTCTTCTCTTCCCTCCTTCTCTCTGTCTCTAGTTTCCCTCCCATTTGCAAAAGATTTTTCTTCCTGTTCTCTATTACCTTTTATTTGTTTTTAAAAATTATTTATATTTTGTTTGCTCTTATAAGCAAAGTATCATTCTAATTCAGATCGTTTACATTTTTTCTTTTCTTCCTTAAATAAGTATGAACTAGCATATTTTATTGATGTGTAGGTCCAGGAACATGTTTTAGAAAGTGTTGTTCTTTGATACTAATTTTCTTGCAGTGTCAGATAAGAGGAATTTTTAGTATGTTAGGTCTTTTTGAATTGGCAGAACATGCTAAGTTTCTGGAAACTGGATTTTCTCTCTGCAATTTCTGGGAGGATGAAGGGTGCTCCGGCTTCCAACCTTTATCATGTACACTTAGAGCTTGGTCAGTAGATGGAGCTGTAGACATCTTTTTTGCATACAAGTATTTCTTCCTAATAATTGATCAGCAGTAAGCTTAGAAATACTTCGAATTTATAAAAAGCAGGCAGTGAGACTTTTCATAAGGTTTTATCTGAGGAATTGCTTTAGTAATTATTGCCTTTTGTTTTTGTCTTGGATCCTATAGGTTTGAGCCCATATGACAAATGAAACTTACAGAACCATTATCTGCAAATCGATAGGGTAGTGGTGGGAAACCTATGACATACATACTATAGCAGGCTGTTTGTATCTTTGAAAGCTCTAAAAGGTTTGTTATCACTGGTATAAGGTCATACTTTTACTAAGAGCAAACATGAGCATCTTCTCACTGATTAAGAGTAGAGGAATGGCTGATGTCCACTGTATGTTCTCTTCAGTCATCTACCTATGGTGTTCTGAATGTGAC